CTTACTGTTTGCTCAGAGCCGGCATAGAACCCTTCGTTTTCATTAATACATATTGTTTAATTGAAGCAGGGATCAAGCCCTCTGGTTTATTTACAGTTTGAGCGGAGCAGGAATTGAACCCTCCGTTTTCTTTGATACCCTTTTCATTTTTCCCCTGGTAGTTTAAGTTATTCTTGCAAGTATGGAGGAATACCAGTTTTGGATGAATGCTGGAAGTAAGTTAGGAATAACAAGGAAAAAAAGGGAATCTTTCATTAGTGCTAAGATCCAGGAAAGAATTGAAAGAGAGAGAATTGAGAGAGAAGAGAGACAGTTAGAAAGGGAAAGACAAGAGGAAAAGGAGAGAGAGAGAATCAAAAGAGAAGAGGAAAAGGAGAGAGAGAGAGAATCGAAAGAGAAGAGAAAAAGGAGAGAGAGAGAGAATCGAAAGAGAAAACCAAGATAGACAGTTATAAAGAGAGAGAGAAGACAAAAAGGAGCATGATAGACTTGATTGTGAGGAGAGAGCTAGAGTACGTGAGGAACAAGTTAAATTAAGAGAACTTGAGGAAAGAGCAAAGGATAGAGAACGTGAGGAAAAAGCTAGAGAATGTGAGGAAAAAGCTAGAGAATGTGAGGAAAAAGCTAGAGAACTTGAGTTAAGAGAGAGAGAAAAAGATTGCGAGCTCGAAAAAGCTCGCCTTGAATTAGAGAATAAAAAGTTAACTCTTACACAACAACAATTAGAGGAAGGAGTAATTGAACATCAAGCAGCTAATGCACATATTCCAACACATAATTTCCCTCCCTTCACAGAGGGTGAAGATATTACTTCATACATTATCAGGTTTGAAAATACCGCTACCCTCTGTGAATGGCCTGCTGACACCTGGGCTACCAGGTTAGGAATGTTATTTTCTGGTACAGCTTTGAATATCTATGCAACTTTGTCGCAGGATATCATATGTAATTATAACCTACTGAAGAAGGCAATCCTTAAAGCATATCAAAAAACCACAAATTCTTACAGGAAAGATTTCAGGTATGCCACCTTACAGCATGGCCAAAACTTTCAGCAGTTACAAGTAACACTCTTTCGTTTGTTCGACTTTTGGATAGAGAGTTCAGAAATTGGTCACAGTTATGAATCTCTTAGAGACTTTATGGTTGCTGACCAGTTCCTGACAGCTCTTCCCCACCAGATAAGAATATTCATTAGAGGACGTAACCTGATTAAAGCTGAAGAAGTTGCTGAGGCCGCTGACCTGTATGCTGAGGCTCACAATTCCTATAAAGACCTAAAAGGATCGAACCTTAAGGGCAATGGTTCACCTGAACCAAAGATTAAGAAGCCTACAGTAGAAGCAAAGTCACCAGCTATTATACCAACATGTCATCGGTGTGGTGGTATCGGACATAAACGTCCAGATTGTCCTTCCAAGAAAATAGAGAAAGTTGGAGGATGTTTTGTTGATGGTAATGACCAAGCACCCTTCTGTTCAGGAGCAGTTAATGGTATAAAAGTCTCAGATATATTACGTGACACTGGATGTACGTGCATCGTAATTTCGAGCAAACTGTTCCCTTACTTTAAAACCTCTCGTGTCCTCTATTCTTTCAGATTACTTGGGTCGTGAAAATACTTTCTCTACAATACGTTGTTACTTGAAAATTAAATGATTCACCGGTTGGACTAATGTGGTACTAGCCCCAATTATTTGTTCTGTAATAGTGGGTAACATTAAAGGTGCCATTCTTCCTTCAGAGGCGGATCTTTCGTCACCACCCGTGGATCTAAGTTTTCCAGCTCTTCCTCCTTGCAAGTTAAATAAGCCCCTTAACAATTCTGCACCGGAAGCTGCATTGTCTCGTACTGTTCATTTGGGGGTGGAAACAGATGATACTGCTCTCGATAGTGAGGTAGCAGGATCTCCTGTCCACTCGTCGGGTGAAAGTAAGGGTATTGCCTCCAGCACTCTCAATGTCTTGACTAGGGCTCAGACCATAACCCCGGCTTCTCCTACCTCTACTCCCACCGTAAGTCCTTTTATTTTCCCAGATTTTATGTCCAAGGATGACTTTATCAATATACAGCGCAATTGCCCTTCACTTCGGGATTGTCATAATCCAGCTTTTAACAACAAAGTTATCCATGGGAGATACGTATCTCATAAGTTTGAATATATTAATGGTATCCTATATAAATCTGTATTTAAATCTCATTCTTCAGTGATAGATTATTCCCTCCTTGTTGTTCCTAAACCATGTCGAGAGACTGTTCTTCAAATGGCACATTATTTGCCAGTGACCAAACACTTGGCCCATCGTAAGACGTGGCATAAGCTCAAACACACTTATTTTTGGCCAAGCATGTACTCTCAGGTTACAAAGAAGTATAGTTCTTGCAATAGGTGTCACGTGCTTACTGCACAAAATTCACACACTCCTAGATCCTGTATATTTATTAAATCTAAAACTTCCCTCCTGCATAAACGAGATACTCTAGCATAGAAAAGAAATGTTTAGCCCTTGTGTGGAGTATGTCCAAGCTTAAATTTTATTTACTGGGAAAAGAATTCATTTTAGAAACGGTTCATCTAATTATTTCTCTGACTAGTTAAGTCATGACAGTCAGTAGAAGATTTGCTGTCTTACGCGACTTCCACGTGTTAGAACTTTTTCCTCGCCTATTCTTCTTACACTCCTTGACTATAAGTCTTGGTATGGGGGAGTGTGAGGGAAAAGTTCAATAGATAGGAGTAGCGAGGGATTATATAGTAACAATAGTTTCATTGCCGGCTACTTGTTAAGGTAGGGTAAGTCTAGCTCCCACTATTCCCTCCCTTTTTTCCCCCCCACCCCGAAAGTGATAGTTTGATTGCCGGCTACTTGTTAAGGTAGGGTCAGTCTAGCTCCAGCTATCCCTTCCCCTCCCTCTTACCCCCCCCCCTCGAAAGGTGACGTGTGGGGCTCCGGCCAAACAGTAATCACTCGACTCACAGCTCCCAGCACTACTGTAAGTACATGCCTGCTCATATTCTAGTGGACTTATTGGTTGAAAGCTTTACTTTTGACCAATAATAAACTTAGTCCTTTCAGTCTGTCTCTATGTTAAATGTCTTAATAATCACCATGTCTTTTAGGTATTGTACTTATCATGGAGAGTAATTTCTTAAGCAGTGAGTAACCTGTCTCTCTTTCCAGCTTGGAATGACAGAATGGGTCACCTGCCAACCAACGAGTAGAATTGAAGGAGACGGACTAACGTTCTGAGACGTCCCATGTTTTATCTACTTACCTGTGCACTTGCATGAAGTTGCAGGACATAACCCCTCGTCATTGCAGCGGTAAAAAACCTGCTTTCCTGTCATCTGGATAGATTATTTTACGGCTATAGACTCTGTGAAGAACGAGCCGGTGGGTTGTCACCAACACCTGCGACCCTCCCCCCCCCACATCATCAGCAACGGGTACGATTTCAACAACACGCAGTGTCACCAACACCAGACACCCAAGCTTTATATATATTAGCGTTGAATTCAGATATCATTTATATTTTTCATTTTTCATTTTCTTTAATGTAGGATCAATATTTCATATTTAAGTGTTTTATATTTTATATTTTCTAAATAATAAAGTGTTTATATTTGTCAGTTTTTGTTCTTTTTCTATACATTAATTTTCCTGAGGAGGAGCCAGCCTTAGTAATACTGACTGAAGTTGTTACAGGGCTGAGTAAGCCTTCACAGGCAGACACATACTTGCCATACTCCCTAGCTGAAGAGGGGGTAGATGCCAGCCACAGGGAGGTCCAGAAGACCCGCAAATATGAAGACCTTCCACTTGCTATAACTTCATACCAAGAGGGTCAAAGACCCTTGGAGCATGGGGCAAGTGTGCTCTAAAGTTCCTCAAAGAGCTGGGTGAAAAACTCATCACAGAAACCACGGACCACAGGGCGACCAGCTTCCTCTTTCAGAGACTCAGTGTCGCCATCCAGAGAGAAAATGCCTGCAGCATTCTGGGCAGGCGGCCCACTGCTGGGGAGATGGACGAGTATTCGAGATGTACCTCTGAGTTGTTATCTATGTTGTTTTACTCCATATTGCATTTTTGTCAATGTATTTTGCCTATATACGTATATATATATTTATGCAGAACAACCACTGAAAAAATAGCAAAATTCTAAGCACTTTCATAACTTTTCACATTATCATAGTTCCTTTAAAATGTGAGAAGTCAAGAATGCGCTTATGTATTGTGATATCACCTGTTCACTGTGATCTTATTGCATATACAGTGGAACCTTTGGTCATGAATGCTTCCGAACACGAACAAATCGGTTCACGACCAAGAATTTCACCAAATTTTTGCATCTGGTCACGAACAAATAACTGGATGCCGAACAAACACAGCTGCACCAATTTTTCACATTCCGCACCATTTTTTTTTTTTTTTTTTTTTTTTTTGCATGCGCCAATTTTCTTCACTTTCTGTTGTTTGTGTACACCTAAGACCCCTCACCTTGTAGGCTTTCACGGTCAGACCTGCGTTTATTCACTGTGAACTCCTTGTGTTGTATTTTGTGTGTTTTTTAATTCATTTAGTTTTCTTGGTTGTTTGCGGTATGTTTTTCTCTGTTATTTAAGTTTTTTCTCCATTAAACTATGCATTATTTTGTATAATTAAGGAATTTTCAAACTTTGATTATTTTTCCCAGTCGCCTATTTTGAAAGTATAAGCTATTTCTTGGATATTTTTTAGAGGTGATCTGAATTTTTGTCTTATTTTAGTATACCCTCATATATTTTATAGTGTACATATTTGTAAATACTTGGTGAAGGAAAATATAATTCAAAGTCATTCAACTGGGTTCTGCTCTTTGCTGCCTTTTACACCCAGGATAACAGGCCTCATTGTCCCTGGGTTGTAATACCTGCAAAAGATTCCCATGGATGATTATATTCATCCATAAGGCTTTAGAATTTACGTGAATAATAAACAAAATCGTAATGACTTACTAAAGAAGCAATGAGTGGCGACACAATACCACCAACACGACCACACATGGAACAAGCACCAACACCAACACTGCGGTAGTCAGTTGGGAAGAGCTCGGCAGAGTAGACGTAGACGATGGCGAACCCAGCAGCGGCTCCGAACTTGCCTACCAGGCTCAGGCAAACCACCAACCAATCATAGCCTATTATAAGAAACATTAAAAAAAAAAAAGATTTCATTATTACTGAGGAGGAAGATAAGCATTATCTGATTCACAAAAGCTGTTGTTGTCTGTCATTAGCACTTGTATTATCCAGATATTTTATCTCTGTTAAGTTTACCTTAGTATAACATGAATACACATAGTTTATAAGTTTATGTATATTGCTTCCATTGTCAATACAAAATTATTCTATAAGAAAGAAGCCATCAGTAAGGGTTATCTCAAGGACAATCAAATGGTAATTATAAGACAGAAGTAACCATACATAAGATGTAACGTAGACTGCAAATATCTTGGTAATACTTACGTGTTTTTCTAAACCAATGTTGACTGTGTACAATAGATCAAATGGGAGGTTTAATATGGACTTCGGATATTACGACAGTGTGATACCAAGAAAATTAAGTGTAACAGCTGGATCGCTAGCGCACTCAGCTCGCTCTGAGGTCCGGAGATCGAATCTCCTCCGGTACGACTGGAAAACATTATGGACGTGTTTCCATAAGACACCTGCTGTCCCTGTCCCTGTCCCTGCCCACCCGTCAGTTTAAAATAGGTACCTGGGTGTTAATCGACTGGTGTGAGTCGCATCCTGGGACATAAACTAACCTAATTTGCACTAAATGCTCAGCATAAGAAGGGACTTTCTATATAGTAGTATGTCATTGATGTCAGCTAGACCTGTATACCTTGTACATGTACTTGTATACCTTGTACATGTACTTGTATACCTTGTACATGTACTTGTATACCTTGTACATGTACTTGTGAAATAAAGATTATCCAGCACCAAGGACGTATTATATGATTCTTGTCTGAAGTGATTTGAACTGAAATGAACCAAATGTAATCTGGAGATTTTATTTACAGATCAATTCAGTTTCACAAACAATATTCATATACGATTTCTAAATGTTGCCAGCAAAACTGTTTAGTTTTTCAACATTGCAGAATCTTCCATTTCACTTCAGAATCTTTCATTACATTGCAAAATCTTTCATTTCATTTGTTTACAACTAAAGCAAAAAAGGAGAAATCTTAGTCCAATAACGACTCCATAATATTTCTAATTTAATGTGCGATAACATTATGAAGACTACTAAGCTTAAAATCATCTCTTAATTTTTATTTTTATTAAAAACTTCCTAGTTAACCTGTGCAAAATATAACCTATGATTATGTTATGCAATATGAAGGTGTTGATAAGACACAGGTGCAACAGATAGGAAATACGTAATTATGACAGTCTGAAATTAAAACAAAAGATAGTGCCTCTGGACGAACAGTATATTTTAACTTCAGTACGCGTATTTTATGCGCCTGCATATTTTTATTATTATTATTATTATCATTATTATTATTATTATTATTATTATTATTATTATTATTATTGGGAAGCGGTTCTAATAGAGACTAAACTAGGGGCGCGACAGAATAAGACTTGAGGCTGGTGCCATCACTGGAAAACATGGCTGAAAACCACTGTCCTGGTGTAATACTCCACTTTTATGTAAAGTGTTTATGTTTAATGTTTCCTCCTTCCTGAAGAAGCTTAAGGGTGCATCAAGTACTCATGTTCACCTTGTGTGATAAAACATTGTGGAAACAATAAAATTTCACATTAGTTGCATCTGTGTCCATTTAGCTAACAATCTTATTGTGGCCTGCTTACAGGTCTGTCATTGTGATTTGTATAGCGGAATCTATTGCTCTGTATTCTGCTTTGCAAGCATAACACCCGCATAACGGCCAAGCAGGAATGGCAGCAGGCAAACGTAAACATTGCTCGCACCTCTCTACACCCATTGTGATTTGCGGCAGTGGTATCTCCAGTTAGGATATTGAACTAGACCTGAGAGAGGGAGCAACACTGGTGGGCAAGGATAAGAATCCTCATTGTCTACACGACATCAAAGACTCTTCAAATTACGATATTCAGGTGTTACATGCGTCCTATTCCTAATTCTGTCAGTCATGCAAACCATTATTTTAATAATATTTGTCTGATGAAGCAATGCCATGGAATCTTGGTATATAAGATTTCTCTTGATAAATTAGACACATGTGCAACTCTTGGGTATCTTTATTGAGGAAACGTTTCGCCACACAGTGGCTTCATCAGTCCATACATAGGAGAAACTTGAAGAACAGGAGGAGAATGAGGTAATCAGTCCCTCAACCTTGAGTCGATGTGTTCAGTCCATCAATCTTGGTATTCTACTCAAGATTGATGGACTGAACACATCGACTCAAGGTTGAGGGACTGATTACCTCATTCTCCTCCTGTTCTTCAAGTTTCTCCTATGTATGGACTGATGAAGCCACTGTGTGGCGAAACGTTTCCTCAATAAAGATACCCAAGAGTTGCACATGTGTCTAATTTATCAACATGTCGGTTCTCTGAACCATTCATCTACAAAGATTTCTCTTACAAACATATTACTATCCTCTGGACCAACTCTTGGTTATGATCTTCTTCCACTAGTGGGCCCCGCCCACCTCTGACGTGACTTGAACTGTTACACCTCATTTAACTCCAGTATATAAGTATCCATCTTCATGTTTATGCTTCAGACTCATCAAGTGTAAGATAATAAATATCACCTTTCAAGCTGTGTGACTGATTACCTCAACTTCCACTGTCTTCTGTGCATAGGTCTTCAAAGCTGAGGAACTGATCATTTCATTTCCGACTGTTTTTGTATGTCATATCTCTACTGAATTGAAAAAGCCACAGGTTTGCGAAAGTCTTCAAATAAAGATATACAGGTGTCGCAAATGTATTTAATTCTTCATGTTTTGTGCTATATACGTTTTACCCATTAAGTGTCTCCTATTCCACTTGCTTACTAACAGTGTACACTACGAAATTTGCTTACCTCACATACCTCCATTAACTCACTTTCACCTTGCCTGTCATATTTCCCCGTGAATATAGATTCACGGGGAAATTCACATTGTTTGAGTGGTTCTGTAGAGCTCAACCTCAAGAATACTTCGGAACTGTGCTGCTCTAGGTAATATCTTAAACAAGCAAATTACGTCGATCACCATTCCATGATCCTATTGTCACAAGGTATGTCGTCAAGCATATCCTGCAGCACAAATCTGAGCTGCAGGAGATGCTTGACGCAAATTCAGGTTTTACGAGTGTCATTGGGCGTTATTTTATTAATGATTAATTACGTTTTTTTGAACAATTCAGTTTTGAAAAGATTGTTTTAATACATCAGCTGTTTTCCGCTGTGGCAGAGTGACACGATAAATTAAAAACACTTCCATCACCACTTTTGCCAGATCCGTACCGACACTATACTTCAAAAACTGCAACATATCTCCACCCTTCTCTCGGAGCGCATGCACTGTACTTTGGACCTCCAGGACTCAAGTCCTGCTAACTGGTTTCCGTCAATCCCTTTTAAATTTTACTTTTCTTACACTCCAACAGCACGTTAAGTCATAAATACCACTGGCTCCTATCTAACACGTTTATGCACCCTTGCTGGAAGTCCAAGGCACTCACACACAAAACTACCTTTGCCCTCTCACTCCATACTTTCCCATGATGATCACTACCCCGCCTTCCACTACAGATTTATATTCTCTCCAAGTCATTCTGTTTTGTTCGATTCTCTCTAAACATCCTAACCGCCTCAACAACCCATACTTAGCCTTTTGGATAATACTTTTAGTAACCCGCACCTCCTGATATCTAAGCTACGGAATATCTGCATAATATTCACACAACACATTGCCCTCAGACATGACGTCTCTTCTGTCCCCATACTTCTTGTTGCAACATTCACCATCTATGTTTCACACACATATATGAGCATTGGTACCACTATACTTTCATAAATTTCCCTCTTTGCTTCCATGGATAATGTTCTATGTCTCTATAGACTCCTCAGTGCACCACTCACATTTTTGCCTCGTCAATTCTATGGTTTACCTAATCTCTCATGGACTCATCTACTGACAAGTTCACTCTCAAATATCTAAACACACTTTCTAATCTTATATCCACTCTTTCATTTCTTATATTTTTTTTTTGTTATCTGATCACATTGCTCTTTCCTATCTTCACTTTTAACTTCCATCTCATACATACTCTTCCAAATTCGTCCACTATCCTCTGTAACTTCTCTTAAAAATCTCCCAACGGAACAGTGTCATCAGCAAAAAGCATCTGTGATAATTCCGACTTTCCGAGCATTCACTTCTTTTATTACTCCGTCTATAAATATATTGAACAACCACAGTGACATCACGCATCTCTAAGGTCTACTTTTACTGTGAAATAATCTCCCTCTCTCCTACTCACCCTAATCTGAGCCTCACTAATCCTTCAATAAACTCTTTACTGAAGATTGAGACACTTATGCAGCATATGGGAATCTTTAATCAGGAAACGTTTCGCCACACAGTGGCTTCATCAGTCCAATACAAAGAATGTGCGAAGAGAGGAGGAGTTTGAGGTAATCAGTCCCTCAGCCTGGAGTTGATGTGTTCAGTCCATCAATCTTGTAGAATGTACAGCATAGGGCCGTAGACGTGGCTTATATACTCTAGTCAGGTGAGGCTAAGCAGGAGGAGGCGGGGTCATAGTGGTACCATCTACTAGTCGAAGTAGGTCTTCGTCCAAAGGTTGGACAAGTGTTGAAGAATTCTTTGTAACAAGATCCCATGATGCTGCTGTGTCTGACAGTTGTGATGAATGGTTTGAAAAACCGACAAGTTGAAGATTGAGACACTTATGCAACATATGGGAATCTTTATTCAGGAAACATTTCGCCACACAGTGGATTCATCAGTCCAGTGGCTTCGTCAGCTGTCAGTCATCTATCACCTATTCCATACAGGTTGCTTCCCTATCCACCCTGTTCAATGCCTTTTTCAAATTCACAAATTCTAAGAAAATCTCTTATCACTTAACTAAATACTGTTCACTGATATGCCATATTGTAAACACTTGATCT